AAAATCATTCACAATTTCCATTTTTTTCCGTAGAAATTAAATTAATATAAGAAAACTTTAATTGTTAACTTTATACGATTACGACAATATAACAATTATTTAGCATTATAAAGCTTTCCATTTATCTCACATATACAGTATGTTTTGCATTTACAAATTTTCATTTAATACTTCATGTTACCTTAGTATGAAATATTAAATTCTTTGGTCATATAAAATAGTAATTATAAAAATAACAATCAGAATTTTAACTAAAGAGAAAATATTAAGTGGCCACTGCAATTGTATAATTAAAAAAAAAGACAAAATTAAGATACTTCTAAGGACTGTAATTACTAATTATTGTTTTTAGCAAGATATATATTGTAAATAATAGTAATAGCCTTTTTAATAAATAATAATAAAGAAACTAGTGACCTAAAAAACAGAGTTAAGAACAGTCTATTACATTTATATTGGAAGTTCTTCTTTTGTGTTATTTCATGTTCAACTTTTTTCAAACAAGTTTTAAGTAACTTCTCAATGTAATAGAAGCTATTACTGTAAAATTTATAATAAAAATGATAAATTGTAGTCTATGATTTACGTTTCCATTACTACATTTAAAATATAATGGGGTTAAAGGTAAGGCAGTGAAATGTTAGTGAATTAATCTCTAGATTGAGAGACTATTATGAAATATAAAAGAATCATAAAAAATTTTGTTCGTTGTGTAATTTTAGACTGCTTATGTTGGTATAGTATGTTAATTCAAAATAAAAGCTATCAAAAAAGATATCTATGAAAATATTGATTAAGGAGAATAATGATGATTGTTGAGATGTCTTTGCTTTCTTTTAAAAATAAAGGCAAGAATAGAACGCAGCCGCCACCAACGACTGTGTTTATGTACTGAATTTTTTGATCTTTCTTTAGCCCGAATTTGCCTGACTAATGAATAAAATGCATCATCTATAAACTGTCTAAGAGCTGCTGATGTTTCATAAAAGGGACAACCAAGCTGTTCGGCAAGTGCTTTTCCTTCTTCTGTAGAAACCTGTAACGTGTTTCCTATATTAAAAAACTAATAAATCCTAACTGGGATGAAGACTAATGTTCTACCTTCCGCTGACGTTGTAAATCAAATTTATTGCCAACTAATACTAGTGGTATATCTTCATTAGCTCTCACACGTGTTATTAATTTTCGATATTCCAAAGCTTCCTGGAAGCTACGTCTGTCAGTTACAGAATAACAAATCATAAAACCTTCTCCGCATCTCATGTATTGGTCACGCATAGCTGTAAATTCCACCTACATATGAAAAACTATATTACATATAACATTTATATATGCATAAAATCACAAAGTAACAAATAAACTATTTTCTTAACATAAGAAATCATATTAAGAACAGACCTGTCCTGCAGTGTCTAATATATCCAAAAGTGCAGCTTCGCCATCTATAACCGCTTGTTGTTGGTATGAATCCTCTGTCAATAATAAAATATATTAAATGGCCAGAAATTAAGAAATACTAAGAAAGAAGTTGTACAGATATCTTCAGTTCTCCTAACTGTTATTGTAACAACATATGTATATGAAATAAATTCTTACCTATAGTTGGATCATGATAATCAAGGAAGCTGTGACTGACAAATTGCAATGTGACAGCTGAAAAATTGATTTCTATGATGTACGTGCGTACGCAATATATGTTTCTAATTAAACAACAATAAAGTTAAATTGGATTATACCTGATTTACCAACACCACCATCGCCCAAAATAACAATCTTGTAAACCCTAAGTCCACCCCTGGTGATGGGTTGCGAGACTACCGGTACGTCATTCTTGCCGTTCAAGGCTACGCTCTTATCCTGCAGAATGTCAGCTGACATCGTTAGGAAATTTTTGTTTATTGGTAACCTAATGCTTGTTACGGCTACGATAAACTTGTTCTTTTACAAACTGACTGACATACTTGGTCACGTATCGGAACACGCGCGTAGACACACCCGTATCGATTATTAGATTGGGGAAGATACGGTACATGTTTGATCGCGATTGTTAAGCCACTGTTCGCCTTTTTCCTTTAAATAGTTTGGTACCGCACCGAGCGACACTTAATGGCTAGAATTTGTATTTTCCTATAGTCAGACATAGCATGACTGACGAGCATAGGGTGACGACCGGGCTTGACAGAATGTGACAGTCGCGAAGATTAAGCACGCGCGCGATCGTGCATCCAGGGGCGTATCCACTCGCTCTATTGTTAGTATAATAGATCCATTTATACGCATGTATGTACATATTCTAATTGAATTTAACATTCTCGTACTTAATTTTATTGTTCATTTTTCAATAGAGAGAAATAGAATCATTCTTTGTTCATATGTTCGATCTTCAATGAAGTTCGATCGAGGTATCAAGCTAATGCAAAGAGATACTTTCTTATATTTAATGTGAATATTATTAATAAATTACAATTGCAGATACAGATTTGAATAATTGTAAATAAATTAAAAAATAAACGTAAGGATAAGTCTATTTTTATTTAAACATAGTATCCATTGATAAATTATAATAACTTTCTTTATTGTAATTATTGTAAAATAAAA